AATTGAGACTATTTGCCTAATTTTGCAAATATAATAGAGGTTTTTGTTAATCTCAACAGCAAAATGAACATACTCATAAATTTATTTTCAGTTCTGATTGGATTTTAATATTTACATACACATCACTTATGAATCAGTGGAAAACAAAAAAAAATTTACTCAGCCAAATAATACCCTAATTTTGGAATGAGTATACTCAAACGAAAATCTAAACTTGCTTGTATATATTCGAATTTAAAATTTTTTTTTTTAGGAATATGTATCACTTATAGATAGAAAAACTGCATAAACCGGACCAAATCAAAATTCACCATGTGAATCGAATTATATAATAATCTGAATGATACATAAATTCTATACTTAATTACCCTAAACGAACTCTAATTTTACAAAACCTAATCGAAGAAATAAAAAATTACAAAAAATTATTACTTTGTTTAGATATTTTATATCTATTCTGAATCAATTAGCTGATTTTTATCAATTAGCTGATTTTATATCTAGTATTGCTCACGTGGTTTTAGTTTTATTATCATTTTATGCATGTCCCAAATTTTTAAATGTTACCACAGATTTTTCCAAATAAAATCGAATAATATTTTTTTTATTTTAAATGTGTTTAATTATGTATCAATTATTGTTAAAAATATATTTTGAAATTTGTTTTGCATGTTTATAGTTTTCAAAAAATAAATATTAAAAAAATTATTATTTTTTACATTAAATGGTGAGATTTAATATTAGATTTTGAAATAAATGTATCCAAATGTGTTTGATAATGAATATAGATGATTGAAAAAATAGTAAATCAAAATTCATTGGTCCAAAGTCTAACCAAATTATATAATTATGAATAAATTTAAATTTTCTATAATAAATTATCTAACCAAATTCGAATTATATGAAACCGAACCAAACTAACCATTAATTACTAAATAGATTGTTAGATTTGTTGTTCAAATATATTTAGGATAATTGCAAAAATTACATTTTTGGTGTTTACATTTACAAAAATACCATTTAAGAGTGTTTATTTACAAAAATGCCACTAATTATGGATTTT